AACTCCTCCAGCTGACGCCCCTCCAGCCACCCGCAGGACCCCATCGCAGCAGCACCTTCACTCCCAAAGCCCCACTGGGATCTGATCCATCACTTTGGGGGTGGGCCCTGGTACCTCTTGCCTTTCACCAGCGGATATTGTGCAGCATGTATTTTTGTCCCTATAAACTTACGTGACCCTTGTGCAATCTCTCATACGCCACCGTACCCGCCGTTCGGGGTTTTGGGATGCTGTTCCCAAGTCTCCATAGACTTCTTGCCTGGCTGGGGAAAAATTTAAGTGGGTGGTTGGCAGGGATGATAGCAAATCTATTTTTGGAGCTGTAAGACAGCGTGGCAATATCTGAGCCCGGCGGGGAAGCAAAACTCATGAGAGGGGGCACTGCACAATAAGAAAACGCAAGATAAGGGGCAGACAGCATGCTCTCTCCTCCCTGCTTGTTCTCCATCCTTTCCCATCTCTTTCTGCCCTCCTGGTGATGTTTCTGGCCTGGGTCAGCCTACCTGCACACCTGCCAGCCAGAGGTGTGCTACCAAGTTCATCCATCACCAAGCAGCTTGGCCAATCATTTTATTCGTCCATGTGCCACGTGCAGGCTGGCGCTCCACAGAGCCAGTATGTGTGATGCTCCCTGGCCGCAGCAGACCTGTTCTTCATCCCCACAGGGCTGGTCCACACGCATTTGACAGGTAAATCCCAGCATCCTTACGTGAGTTGCAGCTTCTTGGAAGTCAGCTGGGAGCGGTAGCAGCTAAAGCCAGGAATTTTGGCGATTCCTGATGCAGAACGGATCTGGGGCCTTCTGAGACATCTCCTCATGGTTGTGGCTGTTAATATCTGCCAAACGTATGAACAACTAGGAGGACATCAGTGGTCCCATGGAGTTTGGCTTTCTGACCACCTGGGGTGAGTTTAGCTGCCGGAAGGAGGCCACCAACAGGACTGGAAATAAAGATGGAGAAACAGCACTGAAGGCAGAATTCAGGTTTGGAGACACACCTGCCTCTCTCCTTGGATACTCACACTAGTTGTCTTACAGCCTGAGGTCAAAATGGTCTTCAACCATGAAAGGCTTCAGCCCGAGCAAGGAGGGATGCCCTGGGGAAAGGCAATAGTGCCAGAGGCTCTTCTCCCTGCACTGCCGGTGCAGACCAGCAGATGGAAGTTGCTGGGAGTTGCAGGAGCCATTTTGATCCTTTGCAGAAGCTGTTTGAAGTGCTCTTCATCAGCAATTACTGCAAAAATGGGCTGAAGGCACCAGATCGCGCAACCTGCATAACTGAGCTGTGTCTGGGTACCCTTAATCATCAGCAAAGGTATGCAGGACCACCAGGAGAACATCAGCGCTGCGAGGCACTCCTGACCTCAGAGAGAGGAGCTCTGCGGTCTCTTGTGACCAGCAGGTCCCGGGATGAATGCACGTGTTCAATGACCTGTCTCTCCTTTCCTACATCTCTGGTTTCAAGCACAGATTGAGTTTTGCATCTGGGCTTCCCACCAGCCTCCCTGAAGATGCCCTGGCCTGTCACGGGCATGTCCCATCGGTTCAAGAGGGGCCCCAAAGCCAGCTCTGCGGCAGCTCATCCACCGCAGCCATGCCCAGAGGCCATTTTGCATCAGAGCAGCTGTTTTTTTTCTACTTCCAAAGTGCCCCTTGCTGCAGCGCCCAGACCACACGCCGTGGTGGAACACAGCACTTTCGGGAGAAAGTGGTCTGGAAGCGACCAGATTTGTTTCTTTTTTTCTCCCACCTTCAAAACAAGGAAAAGAAGAGGGGGAGTTTCCAGTAAAACATAAAATGGAATTGTGGCAAAACCAACCTTTGTCCCTATTCCTTCTTCTTCCAGCCCGAATGCCATCTCCTCTCTTCTCTGGCCGCTTTCTCCTGCGGCCACCACCCAGCAGGTCCGGGCAGTGCCAAGGACCAAAGGAGCCGGCTGTGCTGGCAACCTGCGCCCTTTTTCCCGGCGGTGCCATCAGGCTGTGTCCTACCCAGAGCTGCTCTCCACCCTGGAGCTTCATCCCACCCACAGAGCGGGGACATCTGCCACTGCCCAGAGTGTCCCTGGGTGTAGGACACGGGTGGGAGCAGCCTGGGAGGGACAGGGGCGTTGCACACAGGCGCAGGCGGACACGGAGGGGGCAGAGGCAGCAAGCGCACACGTGTGCACACACACGCCTGCACCGTGCTCACACCGGCCGGGGAGGGGGGACGCCCGGGGACCCTCCAAGCAGACGTGACCTACTTTAGCTCCGAGGCGAACCGTGTTGTGCGGGTCCCAGTGTAAAAGCTTAATAGAGCCGGCCATAAATTATTCATTGCTCGGCCATGTTAATGCATGTGCTAAAGGCTTTTTTTTTTTTTTTTTAAATAAAAAAATCTCCTCTATAATTTAAAGCCTTGCACGCTCCCATCGCCAGGCCCCGACTGCTCTCCAGGGTGTTTCCGCTTAGGTGAGCAGAGCTGCGAGATGTGGATGGACCTGGCAGGGAGAGTCGGGATGCGGGCGGGAGTCGGGATGCGGGCAGGGGCTAGGATGCAGGCAGGAGTCAAAAAAAAAGCCGCGCTCTGGCGCGGGCGGCCCGAGTCACTTCCCGGAGCGGCAGAGCTCAGCCGAGTGCGTTCCCAGGCAGGGTGGCCAGCAGGGCTATTTTTAGACCTGCATTTTGCTTTTTCTTCCCTTTTTTTTTTTTTTTCCCCCTCTTTCCCCTGCTCCTCACTGCCCTCAAAGCCCTGGAGAGAGAGAGAGAGAGGAAAACACTGATCCCTGGGGTGGGAAGCTGCGTGGGAGGGCTTTAGGAGCACCCCATGGCAGGGACTTGCCGAATCCAGCTATGGGGAGAGCCCCCACCACCTCGCTGGGATTTGAGCAAGCTGCATCCATCCAGTGCAACCCACCATAGCATCCAACCCAGCTCTCATCCTGCCAGGACAACCACCCCCTAGCCCAGGGCTGCAGTTCCCACGGCTGTTTTAAGCAGGTAGAGATAAGGCCACAAAAAGAGAAGGGCAGCCCTGGCCCGCAGCGGAGGAGGAGCTGGGCAGGCGTGAGGCGACGCTGCAGCTGCAGAGGACGTTTGCCTTCTATGGACATCTCTGCTCGCTGCACCGCTGGCGGGGAGGAACAGCGCTGGCACGGAGGAGAGGCCCTCAGCCTCCACAGGCACTGGGGAGTGGGAAACAAAAACACCCAAAAAAAGCTCACAGTTGCCCTCTCAGAGGCCTCCAGAAGAGCTCGGCCTCAACAGCCCTTTCAACACAAGGACTTGCCCTTCTCCTATGAGGGGCGGGGGAGGGGCGGAGATGCCCCAATGCCACCCGTGGTCCACAGCAGCATCCCAGAGCTGTCTGCATCCCTGCGGGCAGGGAGGGGAAGGGGTGTGGGTAACACCAAGCCTGAAGAATCCCAACCCAGCCCCAGAAGAAAACACAACAGACCACAGAAAAAGAGTCACAGCAGCCTCTGGGTATATTTTTTTTTTTTTTGGTTGCATTTCATATATTATCCAGTTTCACATTCTCATAGGATCAGCAATTATATAGCAACTTATTCTCAAATCTTTTAATACAAGCGAGACAGCCATGGTCGTATAATACTTAAAGCACTTCAATACCAAGCAATAAGATGCTAAAACAAAAATTGCACAATTTCTTGTTTACTATGCCTGACTGAATCATTGTTACAGAAGACAACCCTTCTCTTTCAAGCTTTTAACTAAACATTAACTTATCTTACAGGATTACAATTTCTCTTTAATAATAATAATAATTAATTGCACACAAACACACAAGAAATTCTTTATGATGCATAAATATTTCCTTATTACACATGGTACAAAAATACTCGTACTTTTTTTTTTTGTTCGGTATTCCCATAAGGATGGCTGATTATTTGGCAGGACTGGATGCTCTCCAATCAGAAGGATGTGGAAAGAAAAAAAAAAAAGTTAGATATTTTACAGCCGTTCTATATATAGAAGTCTGAAGGAAAAAACCAAAAATAATATAATAACCCTGACTTTAAAACTGAAGAATGGATGAGAACAGAAACCCAGTGCATCGTACTTGGAGAAAAAAAAAAAAAAAGAAACATTTTTCAAATTTTTCTGGTCGTACTGGGAAGGGGAGGGCGGAGGTGGGAGAAGGGGTGAGACAAGGACAGTTAGTATTTCTCAAAAGCCAAGTCTTCACCGAAGCAAGATGAAAACCTTGATGGATCAACCCGTTGGGCCAAGACCTGTTGCTAACGGTTACACAAACGCTAGAACAAACAAACTTACACTCACACATACACAAGTTAAGTGTTTTAATTCATGCCAGAAAACATGCAAAACCCATTGCCTTTCGTTTCCTTCAGCCGAGCCGCCGGGGCAGGGCGAGCCCAGGGAAGCCCAGGACTGATCCTCCCCCCTCCCGCCCCGGCTGGGCTTCGGCACAGCCGGATGTCGAAGCTCAGTCGGGGGGATGTCCTGGGGATGGAGGAAGGGATAGATGGATGGAGGGATGGATGGAGGGAGGGAGGCGGCGCACGGCCCCACAGCGGGGGACCACGGCGGCTTCACAGTCCAGGGAGTGGGGATGCTGGCAGCCCCCCCAGGATGGGGGTTGGGGGAGCGCCTTGTCCGCTGGCCACAAACCAAACCGAGAGGGGTCTGAGCGATCGTCCCTGGCACATCCCTCCGTGTAGAGGCCGGGAGGAGGAACACAAGCCGAGGAGAGACGCTGCGGGAGAGGAGCCGGGGGTAAGCGGGTCTGGATGGATGCACTGCCCGAGCGGCACCTGCAGCCCTTTCCCCACCCCGGGGCTCAGTGGGTCTCCCTGCTCCTGCCAGGGGGGATTTGGCCCCATCACCCATCAGTGGAACCCAACTGCATCCTTGGGTGGGCGCAGGGGGCTGAGCCCAAGCTCCCATCTCTCCTCCCAACAAGAGCCCAAGGAACCCAGGGACGAGCAAGACAAGGACCCGGCTCCAACAGTAATTAATTACTTACTAACGAACTAACAAAACTGACGAGACTTCCATCCTTGCTGGGTAGCTTCGGAGGGAGGATACCAGCGCATCTGGAAAAGAAAGCCACGCCAGAGGTCTGTGATCCAGGATTATCTCAACCAGAGCCCAAACCTTCAGCTTCCTCAGGCCACGTATGGGGTGCAGCAAGTAGAGATGTCTCCACCATAGGAAAGGAGGCGATGGGATGAGCCCCAAACACCACTCGAGCAGCATCCCAGCCTGGGGCTGCACCATGCAGGCACGACCCAGCATGGTGGCTCATACAAGGACAGGCTCAGGCTCACCAGGCACTGGGACCTGGCCAGGTCCTCCCTTAAGAAGCCCAGCAGGATCCCACACATCTAAGGAGGAAGCTAGCACCCCACCTCAGGGCTTGCCTCAACATCTCAAGTACTTCTGCCTATTGGCACAACCAGAAGACAGCCCCCAAATTCACACCTATGCCTGGCCCCAGCTCACTACAACACGCAGAACACCACCGTTCAAGCTAGGTAAGCTCCTCACCATCAAGTTATCTCTGAAGTTTGCCACAACAGAAGTGTGCACCAGGAGGGGCTGTTCACCCCCAGTATGGTCCTACTCCCACACACACCCCAAGTTTACATCTTTCCCCCTGGTTCAGGCTCAGGTAGGGCAGAGGAGGTTCACTTTGGGCATGCAACACCCCAAGGTGGTGGTTGCTCTGCCCTCAGCCAGCAGAAGGAGGCATCTCAAGACCACACATTTAAACCAGACAACCTCTACATGACTCGAACAGGGTAAGGACTGGCTCATCCACCACAAAAGAGACCCATGAAGTTTCCTAAGCCACAACCCCGCCATCAGAAGAGGCTCCAGGCAGACCACATCATGGGAAGAGCTTGGTAGAGCTGCAACCCAACAAGACTTGGAGGTTTCCCCGGCAGGTCATTGCTGCCGCATCTACAGCTCAGGGCTGCTCCTTGCTGAGAAAGGATGGCTGGATGGGGACCCAACGGGCAGACACAGGAACAGTTACTGAACAGATACTTTCCAGCCTGCCAGCAGATGCAGCAAGCCAGCTGCCATTTGGTCTGCAAGACCGGTATGTCAGGCTGGACTGAGCTAGCAGCTTCATGCCTGAGAGCAGCAGATGAGTCTGTGCCACTTGACCAAGCACAGATCCAGCAGCAGGAGCGGCTAGCAGAGCTCGGTCTGCTGCTGTTTGCAAAAAGGGCTGAAACACAGCGGCCATCCCCACCCTCCTCCCTCTCCAGCTGGTGGGAGGAGAGCACAGCCTCAGTGCAGACAGGCATCAAGAGCAGCAGGCACATCCAGGGCTCTGGGTACCAGCAGAACAATGGACTTTGAACTCAGATGAGTAGAAAAGAGGCGGAAAATCCCCTAAAGCCCAGTGTGAACTGTTCCCCTTGCCAGACCATCCTGCCAAGGTTGTCCCCTTGCCTGAACAAGCCTGGCTAGATGCTCCCCTCCCAAGCACATCCCACCGCTCTAGGGCCAGAGGGAAAACACCGTATTTCCAGACCAGCTCCAGCTCCCGTGCCCGGCACTCTCCCGTTAAGAGGGACCATTGGTCAAGGGTGGGCAGACTTTCTTGGAAGCAAGGTCCCAGGCCAGTTGGGCAGAGGAAGAGTTGGCGCCGCAGCCAAAGCATCTAGTTTGGCAGAGGCTTTACAGTTCATCTTACCCCTACACGGCTGTGCCCAGCAAGGGCGATTCTGCCAGCGTCTTGCCAGAGTCAGGTCTCTCCTGTAGGCTGCAAGCATGCAAGAGACATCAAGAAAGCCACTCCAGGTTGAGAGGACAGCTGGCAATGAGGGGGGAACAGGAGCTGGCTGCTTGCTAAGTACCTAGCAGGCAGCACGCTGCCCGACCAACGCACTGGAAGGCCCGGACAACACAAGTCTGGCTGCAAAGTTACCCAGGAGTGGAAGATGCAGACCTGTTTCCCCCAACCCCAGCTGGGTGAGACCTCCAGAATCTGTACGCGGGTCTTCAGAAGAGACAGAGCTGAAGACCAGGACACCCAGAGACTCAGTGACAGCCCTTGGATTGCTCTCCAGGCCAGGCACACCCTCGGTGGGTCCCCTCATCCCTGTAAGAAGCAGAAGTCTGACACCCAATGGAGGTGCAAAGCCAGAGGCTTTGTGTTCACTCCTTCATAGAATCACAGAATGGTTTAGGTTGGAAAGGACCTTGAAGACCATCAAGTTCCAACCCCCCTGCCATAGACAGGGACACCTCCCACTAGACCAGGTTGCCAAAGCCACGTCCAGCCTGGCCCTGAACACCTCCAGGGATGGGGCCTCAACAACCTCTCTGGGCAACCTGTTCCAGTGCCTTACAACCCTCAAAGTAAAAAATTTCTTCCTAAAAAATTAGTAAAAAATTCCTTCATGCAGAGACATGCAGCAGACTGCCAAGACCTTGACGCTGCCTCCGTACAGGAGCTGGAGGAGACAATACGCTCACGCCTCCCAGAAAGCACAGCTGCCTGCGATGGCCAAGTCCTCCCTCCGGCAGCACAAGGGCTGTGATACCTGTAACGGAGCAGCCCCAAGCATGAGCTCAAGTCCTTCTCCTTGTGTTGGCTCCTACAGGGAGGAGCTCTGCGAGTTTGTAGAGGCTCTGTCCTAGTGGGAGCCTCTCCTCAGGTTAGATCTGCTGGATCCCAGGCTCCTGTTCGGGTACCACCACCACACTTGAGGTAGCTGTCTGTAGCCAGGCACACTGGGCTGGTCGGTCTCCTTGCCAGACACCTTCACGAGGCAAGTAGGTGCCACCAAGCCAGCTCCCAGCTGGCCCTGTAGCTTGCTCCATGACACAGCAGCCAGGTGCATCCCAGTCAGTCCAGCCTTGGCTGGAGGGAATCAAGGGCATGGACACTACCACCAAGACCCTTCTCCCCAGTGAGGGGTCCCACCTAGTGCCACCACCAAAGTGCTATCTTGGTGCCACACACACCATGCCTTCACTTCTCTGTTAGCCTGTGAGAGGGGACGCAGCCCAGCTGCGCCCTTGCTCCCCAAGCCTGGGGCCACCACGCTGCTCTGGGGGCATGGCTACCTCCTTGCCCCGACACAGGCCAGGAAGGCTCATAGCCTGGAGCGGGCACCACCATCACTGACACCTTATGGGGCCCACCACAGCCGCTGCCAGCGCCCAGGACCGGGGTTACTCGCTCCCCCGCCAGCCCTGTCACCAGGAGATGCTTGCTCAGCAGAGCCATTTCTCCTCCGCAGCCAGCGGTCCTCCTCCCTGGCCAGTGTCTCCCACTCCAGCACCCCTCCCCTCAACAGCTGGAATTAGTTTCCTCCTGCCCAGCAGCCTCAGGAAACTCCCCCCGCGTTCACAAGGCTGCGAGCGCTTAACCCCAAGAGCCTCCTCCATCCCACGCCAGGCTCGGCGTGAACACAGGCAAGATAGCCATCCCCCACCCCGCTCCCCAAGCCTGGTGGCTCTTCATCCCCTCCTCAGGGGGTCTGAGCCAGCTTCTGCCCCATGCACACGCCCCACTCCAAGCCTGGCCAGAGCCTCCAGCACCTCCAGAAATCCTGCTTTTCTTCTAAAACACATGCTGTTCATAGCTCTGGCACGGATAAACCTCCACTTCTGATGGACCACCTCTCCTCACCTTCCTCCTGTGGCTCTCCAACACTTGTAGGCACAAACCCAGCCAGCCCCACTTGCCATGGTCTCACTGGCCAGCAGACCAGCCCTGTAGCCAGAGGGGCTCAGCCTGGAAGCCAACAGAAGCTGGTGCTGACACGACGATCCTGGGTGCATGCCAAGGCTCTGACACGCTGGCAGGCAGAGAGAATGACCTGCCAGGTCTTTCGGCCCACAAGAAGATTAAGGGCTTGATGGGACGAGGCAGAAACACCCTCTTCACTAGGAGGGATGTTCCCAAAACCAGCGGGAAGCACTGGAAGAACCAGATCAGAGGCAGCAGCAGCTAGCCAAGAGGACATGCTCTTTAAGACAGTGGCACCTACCAGGGCAGTCTTCTCTTCACATCCCTCAAAGCGTCCCAAGCATCTTGCTTTTGCCAGGGAGCAGAGAGGATCTGCAAACGTGAGGCTCCCAGAGCCATCTGGAAGAAGAGACCGGCACCCCAAGAGACTACATAGGGTTGTCCTAAGAAGATTGCAACGCACCAGGCCAAGCCAGAGCACTTCCCCACAGGGAGCAAATTTCTCTGAGGGCTTTTGGAAGAGCCCTTATCTCTCAAAATACTACATCCATCAAGGAGGAAGCTGATCAAGAGTGAATGGAGGCATGCAACACTGGGCGAGGAAAGCAGAGCAAGGGAGGCTTTTACTGGAAAAGACATGGTTGTTTCTGGAGCTGCATTAGCTCACAGTTGGAAAGGAGTCTGGCCACACCACTGCAAACACCTCCTGCTCGCCTGCCCATGGGGACGAGACAGACACCACCAGCTGACAGCAGCTAGCCTCATGCTGCTGCATTCAACATCTGTCCCAGAACACAGCTGGAGAAGTGTGTGCCTCTGCGTGCCACCTTCCAGGTGGAACATCCAGAGGTGAAGAGCCTCCCCCTTGCTGCCACACAAGACCAGCGCTACCTAAAAGTCACAAATAAATGACAAATGGGGCAGATAAAGGGGGG